ATTTTATTACTAGTTTGATTCCATCTTATTATTGATGCTTTTTATCCCAACCCTCTGACCAGATCCAATCTTCATTATTCCTATTATTTTATTACTAGTTTGATTCCATCTTATTATTGATGCTTTTTATCCCAACCCTCTGGCCAGATCCACTCTTCATTATTCCTATTATTTTTTATTACTAGTTTGATTCCATCTTATTATTGATGCTTTTATCCCAACCTCTGGCCAGATCCACTCTTCATTATTCCTATTATTTTATTACTAGTTTGATTCCATCTTATTATTGATGCTTTTTATCCCAACCCTCTGACCAGATCCACTCTTCATTATTCCTATTATTTTATTACTAGTTTGATTCCATCTTATTATTGATGCTTTTTATCCCAACCCTCTGACCAGATCCAATCTTCATTATTCCTATTATTTTATTACTAGTTTGATTCCATCTTATTATTGATGCTTTTTATCCCAACCTCTGACCAGATCCAATCTTCATTATTCCTATTATTTTATTACTAGTTTGATTCCATCTTATTATTGATGCTTTTTCCCAACCCTCCCAGATCCACTCTGATTCCAGATTCCATCTTATTTTGATGCATTATTCCTATTATTTTTATTTTTATTTTGATTCCATCTTATTATTGATGCTTTTATCCCAACCCTCTGGCCAGATCCAATCTTCATTATTCCTATTATTTTATTACTAGTTTGATTCCATCTTATTATTGATGCTTTTTATCCCAACCTCTGACCAGATCCAATCTTCATTATTCCTATTATTTTATTACTAGTTTGATTCCATCTTATTATTGATGCTTTTTATCCCAACCTCTGGCCAGATCCAATTATTCTTCATTATTCCTATTATTTTATTACTAGTTTGATTCCATCTTATTATTGATGCTTTTTTTATCCCAACCCTCTGAAGATCCCTCTGGCCAGATTCCATCTTTATTATTCCTATTATTTTTATTCCTATTATTTTTTATTAGTTTGATTCCATCTTATTATTGATGCTTTTTATCCCAACCCTCTGACCAGATCCACTCTTCATTATTCCTATTATTTTATTACTAGTTTGATTCCATCTTATTATTGATGCTTTTTATCCCAACCTCTGACCAGATCCACTCTTCATTATTCCTATTATTTTATTACTAGTTTGATTCCATCTTATTATTGATGCTTTTTATCCCAACCCTCTGGCCAGATCCACTCTTCATTATTCCTATTATTTTATTACTAGTTTGATTCCATCTTATTATTGATGCTTTTTATCCCAACCTCTGGCCAGATCCACTCTTCATTATTCCTATTATTTTATTACTAGTTTGATTCCATCTTATTATTGATGCTTTTTATCCCAACCCTCTGACCAGATCCACTCTTCATTATTCCTATTATTTTATTACTAGTTTGATTCCATCTTATTATTGATGCTTTTTATCCCAACCCTCTGACCAGATCCACTCTTCATTATTCCTATTATTTTATTACTAGTTTGATTCCATCTTATTATTGATGCTTTTTATCCCAACCTCTGACCAGATCCACTCTTCATTATTCCTATTATTTTATTACTAGTTTGATTCCATCTTATTATTGATGCTTTTTTATCCCAACCCTCTGACCAGATCCACTCTTCATTATTCCTATTATTTTATTACTAGTTTGATTCCATCTTATTATTGATGCTTTTTATCCCAACCCTCTGACCAGATCCACTCTTCATTATTCCTATTATTTTATTACTAGTTTGATTCCATCTTATTATTGATGCTTTTTTATCCCAACCCTCTGACCAGAATCCAATCTTCATTATTCCTATTATTTTATTACTAGTTTGATTCCATCTTTATTATTGATGCTTTTTTATCCCAACCCTCTGACCAGATCCAATCAATCTTTATTATTCCTATTATTTTATTACTAGTTTGATTCCATCTTATTATTGATGCTTTTTATCCCAACCCTCTGACCAGATCCATTATTCCTTTATTTTTATTACATTATTCCTCTTATTATTTTTTTATCCCATTACTAGTTTGATTCCATTATTTTATTATTTTGATTCCATTTTTGATGCTTCCCAACCCTCTGACCAGATCCACTCTTCATTATTCCTATTATTTTATTACTAGTTTGATTCCATCTTATTATTGATGCTTTTTTATCCCAACCCTCTGACCAGATCCACTTTCATTATTCCTATTATTTTATTACTAGTTTGATTCCATCTTATTATTGATGCTTTTTATCCCAACCCTCTGACCAGATCCACTCTTCATTATTCCTATTATTTTATTACTAGTTTGATTCCATCTTATTATTGATGCTTTTTATCCCAACCCTCTGATTTTCATTATTCCTAGTTTTTATTACTAGTTTGATTCCATCTTATTATTGATGCATTTTATCCCAACCCTCTGACCAGATCCACTCTTCATTATTCCTATTATTTTATTACTAGTTTGATTCCATCTCATTACTGAGACTTGTTTTTACCAATCAAAAACAGACACTGAAATAAAGTTATTTCCATTTATTTTTCTCTGTACATATTGTATGAAAATAAAAACAATTGTTTTTCTGGTATAATTGAAAAGGATATACTTATTCAAATATATTCTTTTACTTTCATATTTCAACAACTGCTCCCGTGTTAAAGAATGAACTTAATCCAGTCCAGCAATTTATCACCAAAGCTCGTCAACCTTTCATTCTCCAACATACCTTCTCTGTCTCCTCATTTTTTTTATTAACCTGTTCTTTTATTGTCTTATTACATCAATACTATTTTCTCAGTTTCCTTTGCTCCCAGGTACCCTTGTGTCCTCATAGCTTTATCACCTTGTGCGGAGTGACATAATAAAAACATAGAAAACTAAAACATATTTGTATACATTAACAATAAATTCTTTTTGGATATGTTTTATTAGTAATTTTAAATTATTTTACTTTGTGTGGCAGAACATCTTTGAAATACCTCCCACATCATGGTAAAATACCTCCCACATAATGGTAAAACATTGATGGCAATGGCGTCTTCCTCTAGATAATGTCTGACCATTATGTGGAAGGCATTTCTGAGACAAATGTCAGAGATATTTCTCCTGTATCATGTATATGATGAATTTTAAGTAATGTTTACAATCTGAAGGGGTTATATAGCTATGGATCATATTTATTTTTATTGCTTTGTCACTTTCTATGTAATTTCTGTGCATATACTTATGGTTAAAATCAGTTCAAAGCATTTTTGTTTTTATTTATGTTACAGTGATTATTTTTAAATTTTTCTTCACCATGTGAAAAGGAAGAACTTATTGAAAACAAGGAGAAATTCACCAAAAGGCTTGAAAGTCTTTCCCTGTTTACATAATTTAATAGAATATGTTTAAATTAAGGGTTGTTACTAAAATATGATATGTTTAAAATATATATACATGGGTATATCAAAAAGTAAAGACAATTTTAAAATTACACTATGAAAAGAAGAAGGAGCCATGTGACATGTGACATAACCTGTGCACATGGGAGGACTAATTAACTGCATGCAGCATTCCATCTTTCAATCAAGTGGCAGGGAGCAACAAGGTCAGACATATGGACACTTCACTCTTTGTTTGTGTCATTGTGGAACAACGTGCTGTAGTGCATTTCCTATGGGTAGAAAGAAAAACCTGCAGAAATCCATCTCCTGATGCTGGTGCAGTATAGAGGACATAGCATTAATTAATAAAAGGTGTATAAATGGGTAGGGTACTTTGAAATGGGAAGAACAAATGTAATGGATGAAAAACAAAGTTGTCTCCCACATTGCATAGGGGAGATCACACCCAGAGGGTCGATGCCTTGATCGAGGAAGGCTTGACAAAAAATGTTAGCACAAGTGGTGGCAATTCCGGACATCAGCAACAGATCTGCACGAGCCATAGAATGACTTGAGGCACCAGAACATTTGTACGCATTGGGTACAAAAAACGAGCACGTGGTGCAAATGTATGACTTCATGAGCAACCAAAAAGCTTCTCTTCGGAAGAGAGAAAGAAACCTGTTGAACAATACCAGAACTGTGTTCTCATGCAAAGGGACATATGCATTTGTTCTTCATCAGTTGTCCATCTTGGGTGTGATGATAAACTACATCCAATAATAAAGGCTCTGATCAGGGGGTTTTGATGAGCATGGAACCACCTCTTAATTGCTGTTGTTCCCAGGTTGATACTACCCCAGGGTGGTAGCACCTGTTCGTGTCTAGTACTGGGTATGACGATAAACTTCATCTGGCAGGAAGGTCTCTAATCAAGAGATTGGAGATTTTGAGGAGCATGGAACTACCTCTTGATTGCTGTTGTCCCTGAATCCACCCTAACCCAGAGTAGTAGAACCAGTTAGGGTTCAAAAATGGGCAAATAATGACCCCCCCCTATATTGGGGTCAAAACACGAGAATATCGTGGTACATATTTGTAGTAGAGATGCCATTGATGTGTTTTCTTAGTAATAATATTACTAGCAATATATTATTGGAAAGGAAAAGAAATTACCAACAATGTTTTTGAAAATAAAAAAAAGAAAAAGAAATTATCAAAAAAATTAAAATTTCGGCATTAACTCTTTCCCCAGCATATATACATTTTTACCAAAAGTGTCTTTTTCGGGTATGGATGAATAAACACATCCAAAATATAACATTCAAAAACCAGCTACAGATGAGCTTATACAACGATCTTGATACTTTTTATGCCCTTCTGGTCTTGAAACAAGTCCATTTGTCAACTCATAAGTCTGGTAGAGAGGTTAACCAACATTTGGTTACCTAGTGTCTCAGTTTCTTAGTGAAAATAAAAAAATTGAAAATAATTAGTGGGGTAGGGGTTAAATGACCTATAACCACTGAACAAACCAAACCATCATCAGAAGAAATAAAGGTGTTGTATGAAAACTGGCTTTACTTTTTGATTTTATCTTTGTATGAATTGTGTCACATTATCAATGGATTACACTGACATTAGGCATTCCATAAGATTGATATCCGAGGAGTTTTACCACCTGTGCAAAACCTTCAGTTTCTATATGGTTATTAACAAGATAGAAAGGAAAAATTGCTCCCTGTCTGTGAACATTGGCATCAACAAGGAGACAGCAGGCTCCTACACCATCAAGCTTCACCAGAGATCCCTCACTGGCTAAATGTGGAAGATAACGTCGAAGAGTTTTGTTTTCATAACCTTCAAGCATAAGAAAGTTTCTATCTTTGCTGTTAAGAAATTTGCGTGATTCTTCAGTCTCTCTCCAAGAATTCCGATCATAAACATCAAATTCAGAAAGAGATTTTCGGTAGAGACAGGATGGTACAACAACAGGTACATGGGCTGAGATCAGAGTCTGTAAAATGTCTGCTGGAACCTCTCTTACATCACTATCAAGCCAAAAGACATATTTCTCATCTCGCAATGCACTGAAAAGCAGTGCATTGCGAACTTTAGCGAGTTTCCGCCGCCGGACAAGTTGGATATCTTTGCGATGTCGATCAGCAAACTTAGGAATTTTGTCTGCATCTGTGTCACTGACTGAGAGAGTGTGAACTTCTAAAGCTCGGAATTTGTGCACCAATTTTTTGACAAGTTTCTGGAAATCTGGTGGCATTCCATCCAAAGACTGGTCAATTCCAATCGCAATCCGAATAAGACAGTGCGGGTAGGTCAAAGACATGATGTTACCAAGGAAACGTCTGAAATAACCAGGAAATTCTTCGAAAGGGCTCAAAATCAAAATGGTGGCATTTCTATGAGGACATTTCAAGCTGGCATCTAAACGTGATGGCGCAGATGGTAGTTTTTGACGGAGTCGTAACCTGTTTAAATAGTTGCTGCTAAAGCATGTTTGGTTGTGAGAAACTGTCAAATGTCGGTGAGATGCAGTTGCTTGTTTCTGTCGAAGATGGAAAAGACAAACGTCAAGTTTAGCACGAGCATCAGTACGAAATATGTCTGATGTGATCAGGTATGTAAGGGTGGAGGTAAACACTAATGAGCTGATCAACAAGATGTGCCATGGCTTCTCATGAAAAATCTTTAGTATATCCATATTGATTTGATTCTAGTTGATGGTGACTTGTTTTGACAAAGCATGAAATGTTAAAAATACATCATTCAATCTGCAATAAAAGTAAAAATTATTATAAAATCATTTAAATACATAAAAACAAAATCTTATTAGTTAGTGCAACAATGTAGGTAATTAAAAAAGACAAAGAATGAATGCAACTATCAGGTCATCTCATAAGTTCTGTCTGAATTTTAACTTTTTGTTAAAATGAATGAAATTTAAAGAGTATTTTATAATGTCTAATGGAGCTGAACATTATTTTTATGTTTAGATGCATTTAAACTGATCAAATTTTATTTCAGAGAACAATAAAATTAAATTTTGTTTGATTAAAACCCTGCTGACATGGAAGTACCCAAGAATCATTTGAGGCACATAATGCTTTATGAGGTCAAGAAAGGAAACTCAGCATCTGAAGCAGCTAGAATCATTCACTCAGTTTATGGAGAGGAATGTGTGAATGAAAGAACTTGCAGAAGATGGTTTGCAAAATTCAGAGGTAGAGATTTCACCCTTGAAGATGAAGATCAAACCGGACGTCCAGTTGAGTTTGATGAAAAGCTTCTTGAAGCAGCCCTTGAAGAAAATCCTGCTTTATCAGTTGAGGAATTGGCAGTGGTTCTCAGTTCAAACCATACAACTGTTCATCATCATCTTCAACAAGTTGGAAAAGTTCCTAAACTTGGAAAATGGGTGCTTCATGAATTGTCTGAAAACAACCTCAAATCCCGAGTTGACATCTGCTCTTCTCTCCATTCTCGCCAAATTGTTTCACCTTTTTTGGATAGACTTGTGACTGGCAATGAAAAATGGATCTTTTATCAAAATGTTAAGCATCGTAGACGGTGGCTTGGTAAAGGGGAAGGACCCCAGCCACAACCAAGAAGCGAACTTCATGGGCAAAAGGTTCTTCTTTCAATCTGGCGGGATCACCAAGGAAAAATCCACTTTGAATTCTTACCACCTAATGCAACAATTATTGCTCAAATATACTGTCAGCAATTAGAGCGTTTGAACCAAGCTTTGAGGAAAAAAAGACCTGCTCTAGTGAATTAAAAAGAGGTGATGTTTCATCAGGACAATGCGCGACCCCACACAGCAAGAATCACGTCACAAATGATTGGTTGGGAGAAAATTCCTCATCCACCTTATTCTCCCGATCTTGCTCCTTCAGACTACCATTTGTTTCGTAGCTTACAGAATCATTTGGAAGAAACAGCTTTTGTAACACAGGAAGAGGTTAAAACTGACATTTGTGAGTTCTTCAAATCAAAGCCAAAAGAATTTTACCGTAATGGAATTAGTAAGCTTGTTAATAGATGGAAGGAAGTCATAATCAGGGAAAATACATTGTTGATTGAATCTGTAATTAAATGCAACATTTGGTCAATTGTGTTCGTTATTCAAAATTCAGACAGAACTTATGGGATGACCAGATATATATATATATATATATATATATATATATATATATATTATATTATAATAATAATATAATTTTAAGAGTTGCGCAAAAGATTATATTGTTAAAGTCTTTTTTACGGTTCTTACTTGACTGAATTACTGCACAACTAAGGACTCATTGTGTGTGCAATAAAAAAGGACTATTCTGCAGCAAATATCTGCAAACAACTCCAGTAATGCCTGGTGCGACACAAATGAGTTCAAACTTCTATTGTTGATAACTCCAAAACGATAGAGTTTATCAAAATTTCTTTGTTATTTTTTAATTACTCCAAAACGGTAGATATAACTTTGGCAAATTTAGAGTTTATCAAAATTTCTTCCAGGGACGAGGTTTTTATTTAAAAAAAAAAAACAAAAAAACTTTCCTTTCTTAATTAATCAAAAATTTTGAAGCCTCAAAAACAAAATTCATAGAACGTTTTGTTTTTCACTCTCCTCTCCTTATGAAAAAAAAGGAAAAATTAAATTTAGAAATTTACGCCACTATTGGCGAAAATCACAGCTACATGACAGACCCGGATAGAAAAATATGACCTTTGAGATTAAGCTTCTTTAAGTTACTCCCAACACCAGGCAAAAATTAATTCCGTATCTTTTCTGTTAAATTCACCCCCAAATTAAAATAATATTTTATATTTACTAAAATTCACACCAAATTCTCCCAGAGCGATGTCGCTTCTATATTGCACTCCGGTTGGGGTTAAGCTTTGCGATCGCTTCCAATGTGGGTGATTCGGGGGTGCGTTATTTTTTAAGACGTGGTGTGTGGGGGTCACCCCGATAAACAAGCCAAAAACATTTTTTTCTTTTTTTTTTTAAATTGTGAAAAATTCCTTAACTACCTTGAATATCATCCGTACTTACGAAATGAGAATAACTTCCTGATTTTTAGTAATTTTTATTTCCAAAAATTATAAATAACAAACAAAGGTTTTTAAAATTATTTCTTGAGGTGAATTATTTGCGATAAGTAACTTTTTTAATAAAATTAGAGTGAATTAGCAAAAAAGACCCTTACCTTCTTCTCACTTTGAAGAAAGTTGACAAACTACAAAAAAAGTTTGTTTTTGTTAAACAGAAACTTCAAGTTTCACTTTTTCCGTGGCAGAATATATTTAAAAATCAAATTTCGTTTTAGCAATTTATTTTCTAATTTAAATAATAAAATTTTGTTTTTATGGTTTTTAATCGATTTTAGCATTTTTTTTACGAAATTGATTTCGTTTGCATTGTGCACAGATTTTTCTCTCTCTCCTTTTGGGGGGAGGGGGTGTGAGGTTGGGAGGGGGTGTGAGGTTGGGGTGTGTATGAAAACCCAATGCATTCAAAATTAAATTACTAAGTTACTACTACTACTTCTTACTTACTGTCATAACTTCGGTATATAATTTATTATTTCAACTATTTCGTTTTTTTCTTTTCGCAAGCAAAATTTGAGCAAAGGTACTTAGAATTTAAAAAATAAAAATAAAAATAAATTAGATCAACCTGAAAAAAATGTAACTTAAAAATTAAAACGAAAAATATTGCTTGAAATGTTAATAGACGAAATGAGGGTTTCGTATGTACAGGGTGGTCCGAAAGTCTTGTCACCCCTATATAATATCATTTTCTATTTTGACACGTGCTCCTACAGTTTGGAAGAGAGGGTTAAGGTGACAAGACTTTCGGACCACCCTGTAAAAAGTTTAAATCGTAAAAAAAAAAAAAAAAAAGATCAACTGACCCTCCTCGCCCACACAAAAAAATAACATTCTAGTTTTGGGCCTTTTTTTGTTTATTTATCTACTTTCATCCACCAAAAAAGAACAAAAAAATTGATGAATTATCACCTGGATATTTAAAAAAAAATATAAAAATTAATTTTCTTTTAAAGTTTCTGAACATGTAAGGAAAAATATTGAAAATTAAAAATCCAGTGAATTAAAAAAAAAATGATTTAAATTAAAAAGTTTAAAAAACTTTTTGAGAGTTGAATTTTTGTGTTTTTTTTTTGTAAACAGATGCGCTAGAAACTTTTTAAAGTTTTTAGTTTAAAAAAATTTATTTTCTTTTTTAACGCAATAAGGAATTAATTATATTTTACAAGAGTTACTTAGTATATTAATTTATCTTATAAAATTACACAAAAAAATATGTGTGTAAACATCGTAAAAATAAAAAAAAACTTACCTATGTTTATCCATGACAAGTTTTAAGAAAAAAATATACAACTTTGAAATAGAGCCGATTGTTTGTGTTTTTTTTTTCAATAATTAACTATGATATTAAATACTGTTTAATTAAAGCTTCTTTAAAGAGAAAATAATTGAACTATTTGAAAAAATAATAAAGTCATCATAGTATTTTTTCTATTGGAAGGTGTTGTTTTTGACAAATTTCAAATCTAAAAAGACGTAGAATCTTCTATGGGTGGAGCTGGGACCTGGGTAGTTAGTGTTACTGTTGTAGTAGTAAATTTAGTAATAGATAATAATACACACTCGCAGAAAACTAGTTTCCTTTCATACAATTCACAAATTTATTCAGTGTCATCAGATATACATTTTTTTGTTTTGTCTCTTGTACCTTTTCGCAAACGCCAATAAAATTGTTGCTTTTAGTTTTATTTTATTTTTTCATTCGTCTCAACAAAAGCTGAAACGGCCATAATATTAAAGTACAGAAGCCTAAAAAGACAAAAATGTTATATTTTTTTTCTTTTTTCTTGTCGCAAGAGATTTAAAACGCTGTTTCTTTAGTTGTGTTCTCTCCCCGCCACCGCGAAAATACTAGTCCCTGACCTTTGGGGAACTGCCTAGAAAAATAACAATAACATTATCAATTTTCCTTAAACGCTTTTTTTTTTTCTTAAATACCATGATTCGGGTAAAACTACAAAAATCTGACAATTTGACTGAACTACCCCCCCCCCCAAAATGATAAGAAATGCAATGTAATCTTTTTTTTCTCTTTAGGTTTCCATGTTTAAAAATATGGACGTCAACTTTTGGTGGGAACGAACGAAAGACTTAATCTTTTTCATTTTTAATATCATAAAAAAAGAACATCGTTAAAATCTCACAGTAAGTATTTAATGTTTAAAGTATTAGCTAAGTCCTGTACAGGTCAATAAACATAGAGCACTCAGTGTGGAT